TGAAGGCAATTCGCAGTGGTAGGTGCGCACTTTGTGAGCATACTGCCGGAAGAACTCTGGACGCTCGATTGGCCGTGGCCATTACCAGTCCTGTGCAACCTGACCTGACCTGACCTGACCTGACCTGGTCGTTTGATCATGCCTTGTGCATGTCTCACAGGCTCCCTGAAATATACACCTATTAGTATTATTATTAATGAATAGAAGACTGACAACCTACAAGGCGGAGGGAGAACAAATTAGGGCTACGCTGAAACAAAGGCCCAGGGTACCACGGGTCTTACCAAAACCAAATGTTGTAATACTAATAATAATATGTATATCTCATGGAGCCCCGTGAGGCATGCATAGGCATGATCAAATGTACAACATAATCCTCCGTACAGGAGAGGCCCAAAACGGGGGAAAAAATTGGTGGCAGTGAACATAATTGCAAATGGAACACAGAGTGGACGAGGTATCATATAAGAAAAGGTTGAGGATGGCGGAATGCTCTAAGATAGCAAGTCGGTGGAAATAAGACGAAAACAAGAATTGTTATACCGGACGAATGGTGGGATGATTGGGAACACGACAAGCAGTAAGTAAAATGACAAGAGGCGGCATGCAGATCTTTGGACGTAAATCGGCACAAGAGCGGATAGGGTGAAGCAGAACAGAGTCAAACTGTCATAGAATATATATTCACTTCACGTTGTGAAACAGATGAGTTCTGCAGGGTCTTGTTTGATGGTCTCATGGGCTCCGATCAGCAGTGGATTGATTTGGGTTATTTACGTTATTTAGGCGTTGATCGTTTTGATGTGGGACTGATTAGACGCTAGGCACCTAACCTTAAAACACCTTGTAGGTGAGGCAAAGGGTGAGTTCCTCTACCTGGTCCGGAATGCGGCCGCATGTAGTCAAAGCGGTGGATACAGCCGCGCCCAACAACCATTGCCCGTGCCAAATTGTCCATTGCGGGTGTAGACCCCAAGCCTTCGTCAGGCCCAAACCAACCGGATCTGGAATAGAAAGGCGTACATCGGCACTCTGGGTTGCAGCTCAGCTGAGAAGGGATAAGGAAAAAAATAGCAGGAAGCAAACGACCAATCAAGGACATCTTGGAGGACCTCACGTTTAGAAATGAGACTCCAATTTAATCGAATAATACCGCATCCCGTCAGCCAATACTATCACGGGATCAGCTTACGTTTTCAAGCTCCCCGAGATAGAGGAAACGGTGCTCGGAGTAAAAGCTGGCACCATAGACCAGACAAAAAACGGGCTACCTACTCGGGCTTTACACCCGAGGAGAAAATCTGAGTGAACTAACACCACTCGTTAGGGGACAGGAAAGCATTGGTACTATTACACGCCAATGCATGTAGTATTAGGAATAAGTGGGCAGAGCTGGTCCTAGTGGCTGCGGGAACAAAGGCTGAGGTAATTGTCCTGTCTGAAATGTGGCTAACGCGGGACGACCAAATACCCGAATCAGTCTTACGACGGTTCACATTTCACAGACAGGACAAGAAACGGGGTACACTGGGGAGCATAGTAGCCGTCCTAGTCAGACAGGATATACCCCACCATGAGAACAAAATAGCGCACCGCACCCGAAATGTTCCGCTGTGCCCAACTTTGCTGGTTCTACCTTCGAGGAGGGTTAGCATAACAGGACTCTACAGAATCCCGAAATGCACATCCGACGTGAACTAGACAATCTTAGTTGTCCTAGATAGCTTATATAGACAATCACAAGGTGTTTGTATATTGGGAGATTTCAATTTCCCAAAATAGATTGGGAGGTTGAGCAGGCGCTAACAGAAACGCCGGAATGTGCATTCTTAGAATGGTTGCACTCGAGGGCCCTACAGCAATATGTCCGGGAGTGCATTAGATACAGAAAGGGAGATAGGCCATCTCTACTGGAACTAATAATTACGACGAGAGAGAGGGAACAGGAAAACATTACCCTTCATCCACCGCTGGGTAAAAGTGACCACGTTGTTATCGCCACAGCAATAAGTCTAGTATACCGTATAATGATGGATGTGACAAATCTGAAGGCTGGTGCTGCGGAGCTGGTGTTGGCCCCTATCCACGAAAGCGACTCTATAGACCAGCACTGACGCCAGATTAAGGCCAGTATTTTGCTGCTGCAGGATGAATTCGCTCCCCTGAAACCCAGTGCAGTGAAGAACAAACTACTTTGATGAAGCCCAGCGATTAGAAGAACTATACAGCGTAGAACTAAGAGCTGGAGCATCTATAGATCAACAGGCTCCCACAGGTCCTGGATAGGAATAAAGCCGTGGAAGTTCAGAGGGAGCTCAAACTACAATATGAGCTGAAGCTGAAAAATTGTGCGAAATACAAGCCATAAAGATACTACCGCTACGTCCAATCTAAGGGAGGGCTCAGACAGAAGGTGGAGCCTCTGATACTGGGTGATGGAGCAGTAGTAAGTGTATTGATCGAACTGTGAAAATCCTTCCAGTAAAGACCAGTTATCCCATCTCGGTTCCACATTTCGTAAATTTTACGTTCCATTCACCAAACACCATCCGCCCCATATACATATAGACATTTTCCGTTCCACTCCCCTTTTATATTTACACATCAATCCTACCATTTGACTTTGTTTGTGTATCTGCTTCACTTTTTACTCTACTTGTTTTAATCGCGACTTAGACGATCATATTTGGCTCGCTCATGTGCAGCGTGACGGTGAGCGTGCTATTCTTACCCAGGCTCATTTCCTTCCATTCAGATTTGTTGAATTACGCTCACAGTAACACTTGGCCCTTGTTTTCAAGTTGTTTTGAGATCACTTTGAAGTTTGTACAGATTTCATCTGCTTATTTGATCGCTTATTAATGCAGTACCGTAGAAATTTGCCGGATCGTTCGTTTTTTTGAAGCTTTTGGATCCAATTTCGGCTACGCGTTGCTCGTTGATCTATTCGGGAGTTACAGTAATACAAGAGGGGAATATAACATTACGATTCAAGGACTTCAACAGCGTACACAGAGTGGACCAAATCGATATTCAACTACCTGACCTCTACACAACTGAATCTGATATTCCCCAATTGCAGGTGGGGTTTGAACTAGTGTGCAGAAAAATTGGTCAGCTGAACGCCCCTAGATCCATTGGCCCAGATGGCATCTACCCAGCTTTAGTTAGACGCATAACTGAGGTATTGGGGGACTCACTCTACCACCTGTACAACAGAACTCTGGAGTAGGACAAGGTATCACAAGACTGGAAAACGGCAACTGTGGTTCCCATACAAAGAGAGAGCCGACACAGAAGGTAAAAACTATCGTCTAGTTAGTCCTTGTGCTCCCGAATAGATCAACCAGTAACGCTTAGTCGAAATCGGATCCCAAGACGTCAATAAAAAGAACGATCCAGCAAGTCTCTGCGGTACTGCATTATTAAACGATCATATAAGCAGATGAATTCTGTACAAACCTCAAAATGATCTCGAAACAACTTAAAAACAAGAACCAAGAGTTAGTGTGAGCGTAATTCAACAAATCTGAACGGAAGAAAATGAGTATAGATGAGAATAGCTTGCTCATCGTCACGCTGCGCTGGAACGAGTCAAATGTGAGCGGTCAGGCTGCGATTAATACAAATAGCGTATGAATGAGGCGGAAAAACAAACAAAATCAAGTAGTGGGATCGATGTCTAAATAGACAATTGAGGTGGAATGTCAAATGTCTATGTATGAAAGAAGTGGATGATGTTAGGTGAATGGAACGTGATATGTACAAAATGTGGAAACAAGGTGGATTGTTTAGGCTCTACAGGCAGGTTTAGCGTATGTCTCGTAGGGTTTCACCAGCTGCCTTTTTCACCTTAACCGTGCGTACCAGACCGTCCTCATCCGGGAGGCATTCTTTGACGATCGCCAAGGGCCATTCATTTCGCCGCAGTTGTTCATCTGCAAGCAGTACTATGTCACCAACTCGAAAGTTTCTTTCTGCAAATATCCATTTCTGATCTGCTAGTAGGGTAGGCAAGTACTTTCGGTCCCACCGCTTACAGAAAACTTCCACTAGGTAGGTGGCTTGTTTCCAACCACTCGAACAATATTTTGTAATTGTTCGTGGTACTATCTGTCCGTGATTCGGCCTCAAACGTATCAAGTAGTTTGGTATAAGCGCGAGACCCAGGGCTGCACTGGCGACTGATGTCAAGGTCCTATTGTTCAATATACGCTCTACCTCGATCAGGGCCGTGCTCAGGGTCTCATCGTCGACGGACTGTTGATTGCACAAGGCCAATAGGATCTTCATCTTATCATCCATTCCCAACCTCCGACCCTGTGACTGGCGTACGGTGGGTTGAAGTGTCAGTGGATATTTTGGGAGGTCAGTCGCTTATGTAGTTCGCTCTAGTCGACACGGGACAGCCACATTTGCAGCTCGTTAGACGCGCCCACGAAGTTTAAACCGTTGTCGGAGTAGATGTTGTATGGCACTCTGTGCCAGCTGATTAGCCTTTGAAGCGCCATCAGGAACGATTCTATAGTCATACTGTGCAACATCTCTTAATGCACCGCGGGAGACTGCGTACAGGTAAACAGACACCCGTACCACCCATCGCCCGCACTACATTTCCAGGGGGCCAATATAATCCATTCCTGCCTCCGCGAGCGATCACCCACCCGTTTGAACCCTGAATTCGGGTAGAGATGCTATCATTTGCCTTCCAGTTACCGCATTTTGACGGCGATAGAACATAAATCTACCGATTATCCCTTTTGTTGCGGTTCTACTGTGTGTAATCCAAAACCTCCCCGAATGGTGTTCAGTGGATGGATAGTTTTAGTCGTTTTTTACATGAAGGTGGCGTACGCATAAGGTAATGACGTGGCTACCAGTCGGTAAAACGATCGGATGTCTTGCGCACAATGCCAAGGAAGAATTGTCCAACCTCCTTCCCACGCGTAACAATCCTTCGACTAGTCTGGGGCCTAGTTTACGCAAAGCACTCTGCTTGACTGCAGGCTCTCTTTTGGTTCGTCCATGCACTTATTTTCAATGCCGCTGTTTCCAGGGGAAACTGCTGCAATTGTACTAATCTCATGGCGTTTTGCTCCGCTCTCTTTATGTCGTCCGTCGATAANACATGCAGAGATTCGTCAGGCCGAAACCCGGTCATGATCATCGCCATATGTTTAAACCTCATCCACCAAGCGGCGGAACGAATCAGTCTGCTCCATGACGAGAAGCTATCCAGTTTCTTTAACCGGGGGGAGGTGATGTCGTGTTCCGAGATCATTACCGCTCTCTTGGCTTCGACCAACTCAACGAGCGCGGCGGGTGCTGGCACTTCACTTTCGTCCTTTGGCGTGGCGGTCAGAAATGTCGGGCCGTGGAGCCAATCGGTTAATTTGTCCAATGACATAGCTGTTGTAGGAAGACATTACCCGGTAACAGCCAAAGCGCGACGAATCTAAGCGGGTCATATAAACTAGAGACCGACGATGGCAGCCCTCGCCGGATGTGGTTCATCTTTGGTAGTTTAAGTTGGAAGATGAATTCGTCCGACTCTGCGCTCCACCATAACTCCAAGGTCGACTCGATAGGTAATGGCTGCGTGGTCAGGTTGACAGCCCCACTCACTTTGTTAGTTTTGTAAACGCCATCCAAAACTAAACGCGCATTGGAAAACCATTTGGTTAGGCGGAACCCCCCTTTTCTAATGAGGTTTTAAGTTGCGTTATGTGTTGCACCATCGAATCCGCCCAGCAAGTTGTCGACGTAAAAGTTATTCCCAATACTAGCGGGGAATCGGGGAACTTATTTCCATGCTGTGAAGCTGTTTGTCGCAGTGCGTACTTTGAGCAGAAAGGCGAAAAGAACGCTTCAGATGGATGACCGGTCAGTCGTTAGTCTACTTCTGGGCTCTGTACGTCGCCTTCGAGTCACCATAGTAGTCGCAGGGCGTCGCGTTGATCCTCTGGGTTCTTAACTTGAAGGAAAATTTCCTGTATGTCGGCTGCTACTGTAACTGATCCTAGCCGGCATTATTTCCAATCATCTCACCCAGCCTCTGGTATAAAGAGTCTTTTTTTGTACTATTTCCACTGAATTGCTCTTTTAGAGCATTCCGCCATCCTCAACATTTTTCTCCGAGACCTTGTCTNCCGAGACCTTGTCTTTTCTGTGTTGCATTTGTAATTATGTTCACCGCGATCTTCAAATACTTTTGTTCTTTTCTTTTACAGATGACTGTGTTGTACATCTGATCATACCTATGCATGCTTCACGGGGCTGCATGAAATAAACACTTATTATTATTGTGACGGTTTTTGAAAGCTTTTGTTCACAATACTTTTTCAAGTCCACTATCTTTCTTTTCTTATCTCTTCTTTCTCTTTTATGAACTCAGCATTTACCAGTTATTTTAACCGGCCTCCTCATTGCCCGCTCGGTATCCTTGCGGTCTCGCCCCGGTGTTTTTATCAATTGTTTGTCGTTCTGTAACTGGGACCTACGACGGTTTCGTAAGCCGCAAATATGTATTGATGTATGCCTATAATAAAAATGAAATTTCAACTGTCGTTCAACTGTTTTCCTACGTGCTGGAAATTTGGTCAGTCGAGGTCGAGACATTGCGATTTGTAGTGAAGGTTGTTCGGATTGCNGATCAAATTACGTTCGACGAGTGCTTCTACATTCTTTCTTTTGTCTTCGATATTTTGTTCCCAAATTGAATTCAATGTCATTTCAACCTTGTCAATCAACCTCAGTCAGACTATCCTCCTCAGGAAAGAAAGAAGGTGAAGATACCACCATTGTTAAGGGCTCGAGTGCTGCGCCATCCTTGAGGGTATCCCACCGCAGCACGAGGTCTGCAGTGGAAAAGGTAAAAGTAGAACTAAAATTATTGAGGATTGGACACAGATTAGAATGTGAGGTAAAGGAAGCCGTCTTTTGCCAATAACTGTGCGAGTCCGAGGCTAAACTGGCTCTTGAAGAGATTGAGTGCACCAGCGATGCAGAAGGCGCAGCATCCAGGTGCTCCAATTCAAGCTACACAGAAAGGGTAGAAACCTATCGACGAGACAGTGTGCCCGAAGTGAAGCTTAGTAGGGGCGTGAAAGAAACACCTGCATCTAGGCATGACAGCCTTCACGGCTTAGAAATCCCGCGGATAGAACTCATTTCTTTCGATGGAAACGCTACAGAATATTGGCGATTCAAACAGCAGTTTGACGGCTTTTTCGCTAGACTCTCCTGTGGGTAGGATAGAAAACTGGCTTATTTGTTACACTATTGTAAGGGAGTACCTAGAGAGGCAATAGAACCGTGCATGCTGTCAGAGGAAGATGGGTATCATACGGCCAGGGAGATACTCGATAGATTATTCGATCGACCGCACAAAGCAGTTAGGGTTGTAGTAAAGGACGTTCTAGCTAAAACAGCAGAATTGAGTGGAACATACGAGGGCATGAGCAGGCTTAGCATTAAACTGCAAAGCCGCTACATGATCCTAACGGAAATGGGATGTGGATTCGAGTTGGAATCCATACCCGCGTTGGAATTATTAGTTACATGATAACCCAGACGCTTACAACGTCCGTAGGCCGAAGTGGCAGATAGGATCGTATCCAATGGCGGACAGTACGGGTTTATCGATTTATTGAAAGGATAGAAGCAGAGTCGAGGATTCACATCAGCCCTTTTGGAAGGCTAGTGGACACAAAGCTTTCACTAGAGATTAATCGCCCCTGGGGCCCTCGGTGTGACACGCATATGAACGTCACTATAAATAGACAAACATCAGCATCATTACAGAACTTTCAGTGCCCTTTGTGTCGGAAATCACACTCACTTACTAAATATGAAGGTTTCCTCAAGTCGCATGTGGTCGAAAGACGGAAAATTGTGGAGAAATTAAAACTCTGTTATGAGTGCAATAAATATGGGCACCTGGCGCGGGCATGTGAAGAAAATGGTAACTGCTTACTTGATGGTTGCACCGGCAAGCATCACAGTCTACTTCACTTGTCACGTAGTGATCAAGTGTCCGCGAATGTGCACGCAATCTTGGGGGACTCCTGTTCCGCACCGAATGATATTACTTATCTCGGAATAGTCCCGGTAAAAATAATGCACGGCGACAAATCGTTGAAGGTATATGCCTTGCTAGCTAGCGGTTCGAATACCACAACAATCAGTAAGGAAGTTTCTGAAATGTTAGGGCTAAGTGACCCGGGAGTACGAATGAACGTTCACACCGTGGCTGGAGAGCGACATATGGTTAGTCAAAGGGTATCATTCGAAGTTAGCCCCCTTAATGATCACAGAGGCATTAAGGTAAGCACTGCCTATATCATTGGCGACCTATTAATGCCAAGAGCTCAGATACCAGTTAAGAAACAAACTGCTCCATTAACCCAACTAAACGGTATAGAAAGGGAGCATCTAACCAACCCCAGGGTTCAGTTGATCAGTTGATGGTTATGATGTCCATCAAAGGTTATTGGGTGATTAATGGTCAATACGGAGGGCCAAACGAGCTCTTTGCGATTGTTACTGCGTTGTAATGGTTGATAATGGGACTGTCCTTGAGCGTAGCACCTTGCAAACGAATGTTTACAGTTACTCGGGGGAGTAAAACTAGCATCATATTGGAGGATTCATACAACAAGATGTTTAAAGACCTGCATACGATGGTTATACATCACTCCGGAGAGGATCGTCGAGCGTTACAAACAGTAGAGAAATTGATAAAACATGACGGAAAACGCTTCTGCATCGGATTAACGTGGCAAACCAAACCAGAGACCATGCGGAACAACTACGAGCTAGTGACTCGGAGGTTAGAATGCCTGAAACGCAGGTTTATGCGAAATCCAAGTTTATTTAACAAGTACAATAGTTTGTTGAACGACTACTTTTGAAAGGGCTATTTCGACCGCGTACCTGGCTATCAACTGGAAGTCGCGTACAGACCGAGGTGGTACCTACCACGTCATCCGGTGGTTC